TTTTCTAACAATTGCTCCAACAGTTGATCTATTTTCACCAAGCTGCTTGGCAATTGCCCCGTAGCCCTTTCCAGCCTTGTGGAGGTCCATAATTTTGTCTCTGGTGTCTTTTGACAGCTCTTTGGTCTTGCCCATGGTAGTAGTTGGCATCTGACTGACTGTGGGGTGGACAGGTGTCTTTAAAGAGCTCAGACAGGTGCTACTAATTTAGATTAATGAGTGGAGTAGAGGTGGACTTTTTCAAGGCACAGTAACAGGTCTTTGAGAGCCAGAATTCTTGCTGCTTCTCAGGTGTTCAAATACTTATGTTCAGCAGTGCAAGATAAATAAATTCTTTAAAAATCATACAATGTGATTTCCTGAATTTTTTTTTTTATTCTGTCTCTCAGAGTGGGAATGCACCTACAATGTGAATTTCAGACCCCTCCATGATTTCTAAGTGGGAGAACTTGCAAAATCACAGGGTGTTCAAATACTTCTGTTCGTCACTGTAAATGTGGTGGTCGGCAGAAGGGTGTTAAGAACATATTTAAGCAGTATTTCACATAAAATCAAAATTTATTTTTAACTCACTTTAAAACAACAGCACATTGACCAAAGTGCTTCACTAATATAAAACACGAATAGCAGGACACATAAATCAATAGAATAGAAGAATGATAATACAATCACAGGCAGCACTACAGGCCCTGCCCCAGTAGTTCCTGTTGACCGGGGAAAGTTCCTTTGGTAGAAAGAAAGGCGGCTATACAGTAGCTATGTAGTGAAGAAGTAATATCATTGTGGAATAATGATATCATTTTATTATAATGGAATATTACTGTAATGCTGCTTTGTCAATAGCTGAAATTAACTTGAAATGCCTGTGTATGGATAACGTTTGAACAGACAAAGCTCTCGAACAACACAACAGCTTCGAGCAGGCGATTTTACAGAATCACAGTCAGAATCAGGATCAGCTTTATTGGCCAGGTGTGTTAAACACACGAGGGATTTGACTCCGGTACAGTGGCTCTTGATGTGCATGTACAATGTTTTTCCATAAGGTAATGAGTTGACAAGTAAACAAGATAAGACTGAGAGAGCAAAAAAAAGAGTTGGCATTAGGAAAAAAATAAAATACTTATAGAAGTGTGTATATAAGTGTTTGTATTTATACTGTATATATAAATACATATATATATAATAATTCCTCACTCGTCCCACAATAGCAACATCAGAAAGAAGGAACACGAGAAGCTAGAGCTAAATACCAAGGGCTGAAAAAGAAGAGCTAGAAAAGATGTGGACATACAGTATATATTTTTATGTATATATGTATACACACAGTTTAGATGCAGTTTTCCAGATAGATATATACAAAAGTATATAGTATTTACAAAGTATTGCACTGAGGGTTGTCATTCTGTTATACAGTCATGGGTGTAAGTGTTCATCAGAGTGATGGCCTGAGCAAAAAAACTGTCCTTGTGCCTGGTAGTTTTGGCATACAGTGGCCTGTAACCCCATCCAGAGGGGAGGAGTTCGAACAGATTGTCCACAATGTGAGGGGTCTGCAGAAATCTTTTCTGGCCTTCTCTTGACCTGTGACCCATAACTTCAGAGCCTAGTTTAACTGTCACTTTTTATTCTAAATTCAAAATTTTTGTTCAAACATGGGGAAAAAATACATATTTGAACACCTTGACAATCAAACATTTACAGTCTGTTAGCACAGCTGTTTGAAGCTTGTATGCCTTGTTGTTGAAAGCAAGTTCTTAACGTGAAGTTTCTAAGGGTCTGCTTACTCACTGGTTGTCACATATATTTATTTGTGTAAGTAAGTAGCAATGTGCTTTTGACAACATGTTTTTATGAGATCATAAAGATACAGGAAGAAAAAGCAACACAGATATGTTCTTTCCTCTCTTCTGTTCTGTTAATCATCATGCAGCCCATCCAATTCTTTGTGCCACCTCTGATTGTTGTACCTCAACAATCAGTGACCACCAACAGGGCCTGTCTCTGACACAAGCCCTTACTCAGTCCCATCCTTTCCTGAGCGTCCCCAGTTGCAAAAAAAAAATTGAAACCGGACTTAGCAGGTTTTGAAAAATTTTGAAATGATTAAATAAAGTCTGAGCCCCCAAATGCCACAGAGGAGCATACTGTTTTTGTCTTTAAACGATCTCTGTCCTAACCACCACAGATAGAAAATCAGAATGAGCTTTATGAAGTGCTTTAATTGACAGACAAATGTAAATTTCCTGTGACCCAGCTTGAAATGAGCAGACGTGTAAACCTGCCAGACAGTTATTGATGTACTGTCCTTTATGGTTTCACTGTGAGCTTGACCCCAAATATCCACTCTGCCTGTCTTTGCTATGTGGACCCATCGGAGCTCAAAATGATCAGTGGTGACAGCGATGCGACAGGTCTGAGGCTGAGAAGTGGGGGAATTAAGGTGGCCCTTCTCAAATCTTGCTGTAGTTCATGTGTACAGCATGCTTATGCCTGGATTCTTGTGGAAGGATCCCTGCTCCAGTCTGAGTTGGAATGTTTTGTCTCACATGACTTCTGATTTTCGAAGATTTCATTAAATGTAAACATTTGGTGTGGAGGTATGCAGACAGAGGGGCTAGGTACAGTATATGTGATTTTAGAAGTAAACTCTCTCAAAGGCTCCCCAGAGGTTATCTGCTACAAATAGCACAGACAAAAATAGCCCCTCATTTAGCCTGTGCACCTGTATGCATGCTTCATCAATCACAACATCATTATTGGACTTAACTGCACAGATTTACTGTATATGGATGTACCTTTTAGCCTACTGTTAGGACCTCATCTTTAAAGGACTCTGTTGCATCCAATGACGCTTCACTTGTGTTTGGTCTATTGGTTGTTTCTGTATTTCCATACACCATGGTATTCAATGGTACTCAAGAACATGAGAGTAATTCATTTGTGCTAAATCTTCAGTGAATTAAAATAAATGTTGTCCTATAGTTTGTAGACCACACCAAGAACATAAACATTAGGATTAGCATAGAAGACAAGACAATAGATACAGGACAATTACAAAAGAGATTCAGGGAGTTTTACATGTGGCTGTGTGTATGAGGATGTGTTGTGTGAGTGTATTCAAGTGTGGCTGGTAAAGGTAGAAGTACTGATTCAAATACTTAACTTGAGTAAAAGTAAAAATGTCCGACCTTCATGCTGCAGACTCTAGTATCTTATGACCGACCTGCAGGAACCTTAACCAAGTATGTGCCCCATCCTCACCGTATCATATACTACAACTTTTTCTTTTTTTTTTTTTTTTACTGTTACTTCACTTGGATGTTTACTAACAGGATTTTGTGAAATCATATCTGGTCTTTAAGCCAATCAGTGGTCAGTGTGCAGCTTACACAAGTGTGATGTGGAAAGTGGAGACATCAAGGTCAAATATATGCTGAGAATAGATTTTTCAGGAGTGTACAGTAGCATTTTCTTTTAATCTCTCACTCACTCTGTGCGCCATCATGCTGTATGTTTTCTGACCGTTTCCCATGCCACTGAACACTTTGCAGATTTCCTGTGTGAAAATGATCTGGTCTCTCTGCACCTCTATTGGCTAGCCCATGTTCAAAAGCCACTTGATAACTTTAGTCTGTTTCCATGAGGCATTTTCATTATTTTATCTACTTCTTCCCCTTTCAGTCCTGTTCCTATATTGTTCATGTATTATTACACTAAGCACTACTGTTAACAACACTACGGTACCAATGTTTTGCAGGTGGAGGAAGCCTTGAGTGAGGTGGACTTTCAGTTGAAGCTGGACCTTCATTTTACCGACAACGAGCAGCAGTACGTTTTATGCAAGAGTGAGAATGAAAACTTGGCATAAAATAAGGGCTAATCTGCATTAGCAAACACAGCAAAGGCACAATGCCTGCTCCATATCTTACTAAGTACTCTGTTTATTTTTGCTCAGTGTGTATGGCTGCAGAATATCTTCAAGGTCTCCATTGTCATTACAGTAAAGCTGCAGACTTTTCTGACTCTTTCTTTTATAGCTGCAAGGACAATGTCCTTAATAATGATCTTAGATTATTGGTGAGCAGCAGTCCACATTCTCAGACACCATTTGCTTCCACTCTAAAAAAGAACTTTTTTCTACAAAGGAATAGACACTCCAGTGTTAGATGGTATAGTCTGTTGGTTTTATTTTGTTACATTTAAAGATAATTATAGCAAAAACAAGTACTCTGTCACTTTCAGAGCTACTGTATATAAGGTACTGTGTCATTAAGTGTATCAGTGGCCTCCTTCCATTTCTTAGGTTGACAGAGATAGTGACCGTCCCGTTGATCAGCAGTCGGACCCTCAGCCTCCACTTCCACCCGAGGAAAGGCCTCCATCACCACGTCCCAGTCATGTTCGACTATTTCCACCTGTCTGTCATTTCTGTCTCGATACATGCCTCACTGGTTGCCTTACATCAGCCACTAATCAGGTAGGTCTAAGATGGGCTGTGCAAACATCCACATTTGGCAGACCTGAAATTCACAGAAAGCAGGGATACCTGCTTGATATGATACTGTATGATGCTGGGAACCCAACTGACAGTTCAGTAAGAAAAACAGAAAAATTTAAAATGCAGACTAGGCAGTGTGTTTAGCAAATGGAACCTTACTGCGGGTAACAGAAAAAAGGACAGAGGAGCTGCTCTGATACAAAAACACTACTGAGTGGATGTACTCATTTGTACTTTTATGATCTCACCTATAACTTCACAAACCTAATGAGGATTTTTATCTTGATTGGTTACTACTGTAGGTAGTAAGTTAGCCCAGCATGCAAGGCAGCTCACATTAGAGCAGACAACACACTTACCTGCCTGTTACAGTTTTTATTTTATGTTTCTGGCTTTTAGATCTTTAAAAAGATCACTTTGTAGGAGTACAGTGTTGCTATGTTGTGTAAAAGAGCCAAAGAGAAATCCAGCTCCTTTTGCTAAATTATGAATAGACAATTTTTTGAGGAAGGGATTTAGTTTAAGAAGTACATTTTCTTGTTGGTTATTTAATTATAGAACTGTTTATTATTTTCAGTTTTTGAGTGAAAACCTGCTATTGTATGAATATCAACACAGAAGAGCTCAAAAGAATGAACTGTTGGCACACCCTTTTTCCTCTTTGTATTTGTTCTGCCAGTCACAATTAAGAGTTTGTCTGTTAGCTGCTTGAATTGATATCTTTATAAACACTCTTCTGATTAATTCAGATCACAATATCAAAAACTCTGTTTAGCCATGCATTATAAAGATTACTGCAGCACTTGATTAATTGAAACGGTAGTGTCTCTCATCTAATTTGTCTTCCTTCACACACACACACATGCAAACACACTCATGGTTTGTCCTTGTGTGTGTCCTCCCTGTTCTCGCTCTAGCTTTGCACGTACAGGGAAGGGCTCCTGGCTGGGGAAGGGCTCACCAGAAAGCACCAGCGACCCATCTGCCATGTCTTTAGACAACCTCGTGTTCGGAGCTGGCTACTGCAAGCCAGACAACTCTGAGGTATGTTAACCTTTAGCTGTTCAAATAGAAATTCACAAAAAGTCAAAGCCATTCTTGTTTCACAAAGCTACAAATGGCTCAAAATGAACCGGGTATTGTCCCCATTCAGATGGATTGTCTTTGTTGTTTTTCTAAATCAAATCAAATCAAATTTATTTATTTATATAGCACTTTAAAAACAACATCCAGTTGACCAAAGTACTTTACATGGCAGAATAAAATGACAATAAATGACTAAAAAAGAATAAATAAGATCAGTGCAAAAAATAAAACAGCACAATAACTCAGACATACTGTACATTCAATAAATCAAAATTAAAAGGAATGCATCAGGTCCTACTGTGTATTAAAAGCCAAGGCAAATAAATAAGTTTTTAGCAATGATTTAAAAGTAGTCAGGTCAGTAGCAGATCTAACATTAAAAGGTAGACTATTCCACAATTTAGGGGCTGCAACAATAAAAGCACAGTCACCCCAGCTTTTAAATCTGGCCCTAGGAACCTTTAAAAGAAATTGGCTTGAAGATCTGAGGGACCTTGTAGGTTTGTACCAATGCACTAATTTGGTGAGGTAAGATGATGCCAAACCATTAAGAGCCTTAAAAACAAAAATCAATAACTTCAAATCATTTCTAAAATGTACTGGAAGCCAGTGGAGAGAAGCCAGTACCGGGGTTATATGCTCAAAGACAAGACAAGCGGCAGCATTTTGCACCATTTGGAGACGAGTGAGGGAGGACTGGTTAACACCATAGTATAAAGCATCGCAACAATCAAGTCTAAAAGTGATAAAAGCATGGATTGCAATCTCAAAATCATTAAAAGAAAGGAATGACTTGACCTTGCTTAACAGCTTCAGGTTTAGAAGGTAGATTTCACAACTGAGTTGATTTGCTTGTGAAACCTCAAGTGGCCATCAAACATCACCCTGAGTAGAGTTGTTTTTGGCGGCCTGTTTTAATTTTAGTTTTAGTCTAGTCTTTGTGTGAAGCTGTCATTTTAGTTTATATTAGTTTTAGTCACATTCATACTTTTTTGTCTAGTTTTAGTCGATGAAAATTGATGACATTTTAGTCTAGTTTTAGTCAATGAAAATTGTATTTTAGTCTCTTTTTAGTAATGCAATTCTATTTAACCCAGTCAACATAGTATAAGTACCTAGTAGTATAGATGACACCAAAAGTTTTTTAGCCAAACCCATTTCAAACAAGGTTATCTTATTACATTATTGTTACCTTACAGACTTAAGAATACATCCAATACACATTTTGTGTGATTTTGTGGCCACATTTCTCCCCATCTTTTTCCACAACACACCCAGTTTTCTTTTCCACTTCTATGTAACATAACATTTCATTTCGTTTTGGTCCACGAAAATAAAGGGACATTTTGGCATAGTTTTTATTTTGTGAACCACATTTAGTCTAGTTTTTTCATCAACAATATTGCATTATACATTTAATTATAGTCATCGTCACACGACCAGCATTTTCGTTGCGTCTCGTCTCGTTTTCGTCACTCGTTTTGGTCACGTGATAAAGTTTCATTTACTACGATATTTAGTCATAATTTTCGTTGACGAAAGCAACTATAACCCTGAGATTTTTTTTACAGTCGACTTCAGGTATTGAGCTAGGGGGCCCAGGTCCTGGTTAGAAGCAGTTAAGTTTTCTGTAAGCTGGCAGCTAAATGCAGAGCAATTTCGTAAACACAATCTCTGTTTGGGGACAGAGTGCAACAGATTTAGCTGTGATTTGTTTTGGCATGTCGTCCCTAAGCAGCAGGATTCAGCCCAAGAGCTGAGCAGAGAGTTATTCTGGTCTGGGTTACTGAAACTGTCTGTCCCTCAGAATCTGTCATTTATTGGTGCTTCATGGAGTCCCGGAGGCTTAAAAACCAGAGGCCAACAAGGAGATTATTGCTGTGTGGCATGGTGGCTTTTCATAGTATCCACCTGCCCAAGCATGTGGGCTCCAGACTTAGCATCTGGAAGTGACGTAGCCTTGTCTCCTCCCTCTCATGCCTCTGTGCTCATTTACACATATACTGTGTTTCAGCAGCAGAATTGCATTATGACATAAATAATAATTGAGTCACTGTTATCATATCAATTGAGATATACAATTTACTTCATAAGAACTTATTGTATTACACTTTTATCACACAAACATGTAGTTGTACATCTTAAATAGCAGCAGCTGGAAAATCTTGTTAATACATGAGCAATTATAAGCTTCTAAGACAAAATTGCCACATAATTTACTCTCGATTGCATTGACTGGCTGGAAACCAAAGTCCCCAAGTGATAAATGATGATTCAGTTTTAATGAATTTCTATTGTCATGTTTTGTTTCTGCCAAAAAGTTCTTTTCTACATAGATGAGGTCTCCATAGTAACTCCATACTACATACAGAGTGTACTGTACACTAATCCATACTGTACTTACCAGTTGGAAATTTCTAGAAAAAGCTAATAAGTGGACTTTGAGATAAAGGACTAGTCCAACATTTTGGGAAGTCAAATTATATAGAAATGCTCTGCAAAGTCACTGCACTCCTTCAAGAAATCATTCCATGGTTTCTCCATAAAACCATAAATTGGTGTTTTTGATTTTCTACATATTAAACAAAGCTTACCTTGTTAATTAGTAAGCCCTAGAAGTGCTGGTTGGTATGTTGTGTTTTTTTTTTTTTTTACCTTCAGGCAGAGCCAGGCTAGCCGGTTTCCATGATTCCAGTCTTTGTGTTATGCTAAGCTGACAATCTCCTAGCTCTAGCTTCATATTTAGCATACAAATGCATCCTGCTTGTGTTAAAAAGTATATATTACAACTTTATGCTAACAGAAAATTATATACAATCAAGCTGGACTGTAATTGCAAGTCATTTTGCACTATTTTCATTGCAATAATCAGTATTAGTGTCAGGCCTAGTTTAAAGAAATTAGTTTCCACATTTCACCATGCCACTGATCTTGAAGTAGTCATTACTTTTAATCAAATTGGCCTCTTATCTGTAGTTTTCCTTTTGTTTGCCAGTTATTTCAGCATACTGTATGCACAGTTGTAAAGCTGTAGGTTTCATTTTTGCTTCCTTTTATAACACGCATCTCTCAGATCCCTGCTGACGTCACAGTCTGCACTGTAAATCTTAATGAGCACCATGGTTGTCCCCATCAACCCTCTTGCTCCTGGTTTTTATTCCCACTCCTGGCTGTGCACTTTAATAAGCTCTGTGTTTAGCCGGGCAGGGGGCTTTCGTTTGATCACAGTAATGAGTTCTGCAAACAAGCACCACGTACCACATAGCTGCAGGTGAAATCTGCACACAATGCCTCCTTCTGCTTCAGCCTTTATTTATTTAGAGATTTCTACCTGTGGCTTTCTTGCATTTTCAGCACTTTCCCCCTTAAAACCACTGCATTTTAGTGCCATGTTTCTGTCACTGTTATGTTGTTATTTCTGGGAAATATCAACTTCAAAAGATAAGAAAAGGTTTCCTCAGTGGTATAAAAGTATATTTTGAGTGGAAAAGATGCTATTAGAAGTGAGACACAAGAATATGTGGTGTTTCTGGTGGAAATAAAACATGGTACCAAAGGTAAAAACTCAGAAATCATGTTAGAAATAAATTATTCTTTACAATACTAAACGTATTTGACAGCAGCAGCAATGCCTTTTTTTTTTTTTTTGAGTGCACCCTCATTTTTGAGTTAATCCTAAAAACAGAGTTCCATGGAGTAGTGGCTGAAATCTTCCCCTATGAAATGGGACAAGCCTTCAAGTTAATGACTAAATAATGGTTAAGTTATCAGTGAATCACACCATGCTGTCTTCAGCTGTGGTGATTCCTCTTGTGTGGTCTGTTAGCATCAGTTTGTGAATTTCAGCAACAAATAAGAAAAAATGTAGCAGCAGTGTCCCCGGCCAGGAGTAAATAAGGAGTGCACCCAAAGTTAGCTAAAGAAAGCACTATGTGTGTCTCATTTTTTCACAAAATAACCAATTTGATTCTTATTGGTTTGTTATTTCATAGAACTAGGGGTTTTACTTTACTTTTTACATGAATTTCAAATGTGCCACCACTGTGTGAGTATGCCTCAGCCTACCCACCCAGTCCAAAAGCCTCTAGATCTGCCCCTGTTGCTTAGATATCATTACAGACTGTGACTGTAAACTAAAAAGTTCTACAGCAGTAAACAGATGCAGAAAATAATGTGTCAGGTGAACTGGACCAGCACCCAAGCAGTATCAGCCCTGAGAGAAAGTAAACCATGATTTGGTCGGTGACTTTACTTGTTTGGGGCAAATTGTAGTACATCCCCAGATACTCCAGCATTACATGCCTTTCAAAGCTCTGAACCCCACTGGTGCTACCAGAACATCCCATCATGCAGGTAGCAGACTGTTTCAGTTCGGCGACCAGCGGATGAGGACAGTGGCTGGTCACATTCAAGGCTCACTGGCTCCAAAGTATGACAGCTCATGTGTACAGTGATAGTTGTTTGGGTAGAAGTCCATTAACTCTTCAGAAAGATAAATGGGAGACATTAGGCAGCAAGGGTGTCATGATTTGTACCTGTGTGGACAAAGACGTGTTATACTCAACACTTACCGTAAATTGCAATGATGAAAGTTATTACTACTGCATTGTTAGAGAGCCACCTACTGGCAACATGGCCGATAGTACAACTCATGTTTAACTAATTCACTCAAAGCTGGGGCACTGACCTTGAGCTTATGTTATACAGTATGCTGCTCCCTCACTGATCTGCTTGGTAATTTACATTATGCACATCAATTATCATTTTTATTGTTTCAACAAATTTCAAACAAATTTTATTTTCAAGAGGGGTGCATTACAACTTGCTGTGCCACATATATGTATTGATCTGCTTTAACAGCCTGCAGCAAGCTGTGTTAAGGGCCCATTTGTTTTTAATGTCCCATTTGATGTTCCAAGTTATCATCATGACTTTGCCAGTGCAGAAACAAGCTCAGTGACATGCTTACACATTTGTTGTAGTGCTAGCTATAAAGTTCAAGCATGTTCCTTGTTGAGGCAGGCTATTTTTCTGAGGTGACTACTGACCTACAAAGCAGCTGACATTTCCTCTGGGTCTTCTTCACCACAGGGAAGCTTTTATGTACCCAGTGAAAACTGTCTGCAGAGAGCACATACATGGCACCGCAGACTCTGTCGCCTCCTGCTGGTGGCACACAGAGGCCTCCACACCTACTACGCTGCACTGATGAAGGAAATACCACCGCTCCAGCAGCCTCCATTGGACTCAGGTGAGCATAGCATATGCAAAGCTCTGTACTATACTGCAATATCCTCAAAGTATGAAAAACAGATGTAGTCATTATGCATAGTCATCCCTCTCAGAGTATTGCAGTATACTGACACCATGTGTAAGCACCATTATATTGGTATTATTAGTCCAGCAGAGCTATTTCAACCATTGTTGTTGAGTAGTTTAATTTACAATTGTGCATTATATGTTGTGGACAAAAAATTGTAAACTGCAATGTAACTAGTAACTGGTCAAATAGAGCAGTGGAGTAAAAAATATAATATTTGCCCCTGAAATGTAGTGGAGTTCAAGTAGCAGAAAATCAATTTACTCAGGACAATCACATTGCTGAGGTAAATGTACTGACTTACTTTCCAACACTGGTGAACAACACGCAATTATTTTTATGGCCTTTAATAATGGATTTCAATTTACAACTTTCAGTTTAAATTCTCAGTACAAAAGAGGGTAATTTTACAGCTTTGTGTTTTATGTTAGGTCCTAATTAGTATAATGAATTGCTCTGCAAACAATCTCTCTTTCCACAGAGAGGCTGCCTGTAGAAGAAACTCTAAATCAGCTCACGATAGAGTTGCAGGTATGTTCATTCACCACTACTGCATAGCAACATAATGTGGAGCCACGTTTAAGTGAAGTTTCCATTGGTAGACAGTGTTTTTTTATTGCCATCTAGTTTATCCTTATTACTTGAATTCGGTTTTCTGTTTATTTTACTTTTATTCTATTTTAGTTTCTTAAATGCTATGGGCATTCAACATTAGGTGAGAGAGAAACAGTATTTTGATGTTTCTGTATGTCCTGCACATATAGTGAATTGACAATAAAAATCTTTGATCTTGATGGCCCAGCTGTTATTACCAGCCTTTTGAAAATAAATGCACAAGTTCTCTCCTTCAGCAATCCAAAGTCAGGCAGACCTCAGGTCAGGTATAAAGATGTAAGCAAGAAAACCATGGATGCTAAAATAGAATTGTGCAGTTCAGATGTATATTAAATTTGTCCATGTTCTATAAGTTGCAGGAAGGCCATGAGAAGGTCGCAGAGCAGATCAGCAGGGACGTGAATCTGCTCTGCTCCCAGCTGGCTGCTCTGTGGAGCCGCTTCCTGGAGTCCACTGTGCTCAACCCCCACATCCTCTCCTATCTGGCCCAGGAGCACCACACCCTCAGGGTGAGAGTCACACTCCATCCAAAGCTTATACAATGCCAGAAGGACCTGCCAGAAGCATGGCCACTTTAGTAGCTCTCCATCAAGCAGGCCTTTAAGGTAGAGTGGCTAAACAGAGGCCACTTAAAGTAAAAGACATAAGGAAGTTTGTTTGGAGTTAAAATTGACCAAAGCCTGGAGAGTCAGAGTGATCTCACAGCACTAAGCAGCATAAGATGCCATTCTAAATCTCAATAGCTTAAACTCAGCTGAGCAGACTAATACAACTCCCAATGCAATTTCTCACTAATCACTGGGCTGTTTAATATGAATATGTACTTCACAGTGGAGTAGCTCTCAAGGCTCTCTTATGTGGCACTGTTTCGACTCAGTTGTCTGAAAATAATAAACGTGTTTGCTTTAATATAAGAGTACCCCAAGGGTATACTGTCATGCCTACTCTCACTAGTGGAGTTAAGATTTCAATTAACACTTATTCTGTAATTATAGTGGGGTGAAAATACACCAGAAAAAAATATTCCTGTTGGTTTGCCTATCACAGTGACTGACTTTCAAAGCTTTTTTTCACAGGCTGAAGCACATGATGTGAATATTTTTTTGTGTGCAAACCTTGAATGCTTAATGGATGAGAATGACTGTTTTCATCATCTTCTGTATACAGTAACTGCAATTAAAGATGAGACTGAAGCTCTATCAAGGTGAAAACTGTTTTATTTGTTTCTGGAAAATCCAGGTCAGGAGGTTCTCAGAGGCATACTTCTTCACTGAACACCCCAAAGAGATATCTCTGACTTTTCAAGAGGAGCTGTGAGTATCGGCCATCTCAAAAAGAGAAGAATAACATTTTATGAATGGAACAGTATCTATTATTTATGATATTACACTCCACATTCAGAATCAACAGACATGGCCAGATAGCTGCAGAGGTGCGTGGCTCAGACTACCTGATCAGGATGCCTCCTTTACCTGTTGAGTGCCTGGAAATAGATGGAGACTGGAACAGCCTGCCCATCATCTTTGAGGACAGATATGTTGAATCTAATCAAACAGGTAATATACTGTGGAAAATGGCTGAAAACTTTGATTTATTTGTACTTAATCACTCTAGAACCACAATGTCCTTCCCTTTTCAGAGTGGGTATCACATGTGCCAATGCATGCAACCACTGATGAGCAGGCCAACTTAAATCCTGCAATCACTCCTGCCAGTCGAATTCTCAAAAGAGGCCAGAGAGCCAAATCACCAGCAAAACCCCAGGATCCTGTGGACAGTGATGACTGCATGGACCTGCCAACATATGTCTCCCTTATAGCAGAGAAGAGTAAGACTTGTACCAACATCAGAAGAATCCAGAGCCCTGTTTCTCCAGAGGACAGCAATGAACTCTCTCAAGCAGAGGCAGAAAACTTTAATGAACTAGCAGAGAAACAAGGCCGAGCTGGAGAGAACTGTAGTCCTGGTCTGAGGTACATTACAGGTAAGCGCTGTGATGCTGATCCATATAGAAGAGAAGAGGTCCTGATTCAGTCCCCAAACCACAATCCTCTAAATGACTGTAATAACAGCAGTGAGGAGTCTCTTGCTCAACATGTAACAGAGAATACAAAGAGACACTGTGATGTCATCAGTGACACCAATGCAAGAGAGAGTGAAAACAATGAAGAGGAGTCTGACATTGCAATGCCATTACATCACTCCATGGATGACGTGAGTGAGGATGTTCCTCTCATCAGCCTACCCAGTGCCTATATCCACCCAGTTATACCTTCCTTTCCCGGTGATTTCAGAAAAGACATGACTCACCGTGGAGGCCTGGTTGGCCCTAAGATCATGAAGCGCTCACCCTCAGTTATTTCTGACTCAGGTATCGAGAGTGAGCCCAGCTCAGTAGTGTGGCCCTTGGAAACTACACTGCAAGGCCAACCTCCTCTGGACTTCTCCAGTGAACAGGAGATCCCACAGCAAAAAGTGTGTCGGGACCCAGTCCACCGCAGTTCTCTTGAAGGCCTTCAAATGGAGAGTAATGGAAGCCTTCCAAGTGGAGGTATACAGGCCTCACTCACTTCCATTAGCTCCCTCCCCTACGAGGAGGACCAGCAGCAGCTCAGCAAACTGACCAAGTCAGTCTCTGCGCCACAAATAAGCAGTCCAGAAGATACTGAGAAAGACCATGTGCTGCTCAGTCAGGAAGCAGCTGCCAAAAGCTTAGTGCAACACCAGGATTCATGTAAAATTACCTGCTCCTCTTTGAACAGCACTCTGGATTCAGAGCAGTCTGAATCATCTCTATTTGACATGAGTTCATCAACAAATCTTGTTCTTATTCCGACGGAAGGTATTAACTCTGACAAGTCAAGCCCTTCACAATTCCTGTCAGAGCCCTACACAGCAAAGTCAGTGTTAAGTAGCATGTCTGAAGTGTTGCTTTTACAAAAGTCTGTAGAGAGCCCTCATGTGAAGGAAAGTGCTCTTATTAGCAGCCGGGAGGTGAATATGAACCATCAAACAGACGTCAGAGTCATAAACGCCTCAGTGGAGGATGTGGATCTTGTTGAACTGGAAGCAACGCCCTGTAGCTGTAGAAACAAACAATGTGTGCATAAAAGTGCAGCAAATCAGAAGAGAATTAACAGTGGAGATGACTGCCAAAGTTTTCATCAAACCAAACTGCTTGGTGTTGAGGATGAGGATCCGTCACGTACATTTTTAGAACCTTCAGGGCTTCAACACTCTAATGACCTTTCTAACAATACCACCACAATACAGAGGCCCAGTGACCTTGCTGGACTGACAGCCAATGATATCACATCATCTGTTGACCTCAGTGGGATATTATTTAAAGAGAAAGAACCTTTAGATGGTCAGACTAAGCCCTCTAGGATCCCCAACTCAGGGCTGGCCTTCATGAATAAGAAGATGGTGGAGGTGGTGAACATGTCAGTGTCCTGTGCCCCAACCTGTCTGCCATTTTCCTCTGTTCTGAGAGACTCTCCATCCATTAGTGGATTGTCCGCTCGCCAGGCTACCTCACCTATAACCCATCAGCCACTGGGCTCTTTTGGTGTCATCTCTTCCTCTTCACTCAATCTTCTGAATATGGAGGACGAAACCAATGAACGAATGCTAAAGTAAGTTTGTTTTATCAGAGAACAAATTTTGTTGTAAATGTGTTTTCAAACTCATATGAAATTGCATAGCATATAAATTTTTGGTGTACAAAACTGGTTTATTTTGTTAATCAAATTTCCTGTAGTCTGTTGAAAAAATTCCAGAAATGACTCGGACTCAAAGCCAGACAGTAGCCTGCTACCCATTGGACAAAGAGCCATGCATTGAAACCCATATTAGCATTAGCTTTCTAGCTAATGTCTCCTTATCCACCAAAGATGGCCAGTGTCGTACTGTAACCGCTGTCGGCCTGAGGAAAAGTTCTGTATAAATAGCAAATTAGCCAGTTTGTCGTCGCACTTTGAACAGTTTAAAAACTTGAACTTGCAGATATCAAATCTAGGCAGTTAACATGCTAATTGGTTTGGTTAAAAACACTATCGCTCTACACTTACTTGGTTCTTAAGAAAGTAGGCTAACCATCAGTTACTAATCAAACACATACATCAACTTGCCCCTACAAAGACCTTGACCTTCCTCTCAGGAGAAAAATAAATAAAGTGTGACCTCAAACAGGGATTATTTATGTTATTTCAGTTGGACTTTAAGGCACAAGCATGTTCAAATATGATATTTGTGTTCAGGCAGATGCCATTCTTATGTAGGTGTTGACAATTAATGGTACTGAAAGTGTAACATGTCTGTGCAAGTTCTCAGTTGTGTTGATTATAATCTCACTCCTTCAAAGTTTTCCTTGGAAGGAGACCTACATTTTCAGTATGCTGAAAAAACTTAGAAGAAGGCGTCTGAATGTAGGTTTAGGTAGAAGACGTTTCACCTCTCATCCAAGTGGCTTCAGCAGTTCTGTTTGACTGTCATTGTCATCCCTTATGTGGCCGGTTTATCAGAGAAGTCGAAAAGGATTTTCCACAACCGCAATATCCCAGTTATGTTAGAGAACACCTTTCAGCAGAGACTGGGCCATCCAAAGGACAGAACCCCCAGACACAAACAGAGTAATGTGGTGTACACAATTAAATGTGGTCAGGAGTGTAATGACCTGTATACTCAGGAAACAAAACAGCTGCTGCACAAGCGCATGGCCCAACACAGGAGGGCCAACCCCAGTGGACCAGAGTCAGTAGTCCACCTCCACCTGAAGGGCAGAGGACATTCTTTTGAGGACAGTGAAGTCCAGATCCTCTCCAGAGAACGTTGCTGGTTTGAGAGAGGAGTCAAGGAAGCATTTTTTGTAAAAATAGAACACCTCTCACTAAATAGGAGAGGTGGACTGAGACACAACTTGTCATCCATCTACAACCCTGTTTTGAGATCTCTGTCCAAACATTTTGACTCCAATTCACACCAGGACAATAGGCGTTGGTCCACATGAGGGTTCAAAGACAGGTAACGACGCTCACCGATACCAGACCCCAACGGCTCAGTCTTTAGGGGACATTGTTGGCCGTCGAAGGACTGAAACACCACCCAGTGGGATAAATACCTCCTGCTCACCACCAGTCAGAACTGATGAAGCCTCTTGGATGAGAGATGAAACATCTTCTACCTAAAACTACATCCAGGTGCCTTCTTCTAGGTTTTTTTTAGTATACTGAAAATATAGGTCTCCTTCCAAGGAAAACTTTGTAGGAGTAAGATTATAATCGACACCAACTACTGGAAACAAGGCCAAAACACAAGGTTTTATGGGTATGTTGTAATAGCTGTTGATATCTTGTGCCTGTAGCTGGCACTTACTCATGCTTGGAAAGTCAAGCATAACAAAATGAAGAGAGGGCAAATTTGAAGTGAGGAAGTCTAGATGCGGTGAAATTCCTCCAGAGTGTATTAAATCCCATCAAAGACTGTGAAGACAAATCCATCACGGTTAGCTGAAAGTAGAGGAACGGGAATTGGATTTGTTTTGATTAGTCCTCAGTTAAAATCTGTAACCTGGCAAGATGACAGGGTAGTAAACCTTAGAGAAGCTGTGAGACTTTTGTTCATAAACCTTAGTTTATTAGAAGTGGGCAGTGTGAACTGAACTTTATCAAATAAAAAATGCAAGGCTATTATATTTTGGACCAAAGGGAACAATCTGCAGGAGTGATTCACCTTTAAGAGATGCACTTTTAGTGTCACATGAACATTTGCAAAATGACATTTTAGATCAACGTTTTATCTGTGCATCTGTAACTAAGATTGCTCGTCTTTGCACAGTCACTGGAAAATCAATTTATTGCTAAGATACAGAATACAATCTCTGGCTATATTTCTGAATGTCATTTCCCCTTTCTCTAGTTTCTACAAAGCCAAAGAGGAGCTGTTCAATGAGTTGAGTTTTCAGGCCAGCTTGTACAGTAACCTTCCTCTCCTGGCATCAGATCTGCCCTACTTCCCTCCAGAGGAGGAGGATGAGGAATTTGATGATGGCATACACCTTGTGGTGTGTGTCCATGGGCTTGATGGTGAGTCATCATAAAGCTGCACACAGTCCCAAATTCACCACAAGAGCATAATAACTGGAGTGCCATGGGGATGATGTGGTTTTGTAGGCCACCCGGAATTTAGCATCATTCTTGTTCCCCGGACAAAAAGCCAATGGGATTTTTCCATAAGATTTTGGATTACTGCAGAAAATAAGCTCTGTGACAAATAAGAGTTTATAATACTCCCATGTTTTGTTCAACAAAAATAAAAGTCACAATTTAACCACTTTTATCATTTTTGAAGTCCAGATATGATCGGCATAAGTTAAAAAGTTATTTCGAGGCTATAAACAAAGTACATTACGGTCCCATGACTACAATCTCACCACCATGTCTTCCAACTTGTAATTGTATTTAATGTCTTACGTCTTTTACAAAACCCTTTGCTTTCCTTAGCATGACCTGATCTCGCTAGTGATTGTGGTTGTGTCAGTTAGGAAAGTTTACAAGTGCGAGTTTAAAAACAACAAGGCTGTAAAAGTGAACTAGTGAGTCTGAGTCTGTTTTTGCAGTGATAATGGTTAATAGCTCAGACAGTCTCATTTAGCCACTTGTTAGCAACTGCCTTTTATAAAACCTAAAAAATGTCAAATTCAAGAGTGTGACATTTACTAACATAGTTTATGTCATAGAAACGTGAAAATTTATTGTGCTTATGTTAATGACAGACCTTATTTCAAGGACCTAATCAAAAACCCACTGACTTCAAGGTGAGGGAACCGGAAGTGTAAAAATGCTAGCTCAGTTCTGGGTTTTAGGTTTCACTACTACAGCACTCTATATTGACACACCTGTAGCATACTGTACATTCTTCTTTTATTCCAGCGTCCTAATAGCATTGTAAATGTATTACGGTATCTGAGAATATGTCCTACAGTCTAAAATATCTCATCACAGTATATAGTCTGTGAATACTAATTCCTTAAAACATATTCCAGTTGTCTGTTAAATGATTAATGTGCTTTTATTTGAAGAATTGAGTCAGAATCTGTGCATATAATTTCCTCTTTGCTTCCAGGAAACAGTGCAGACCTTCGGCTGGTGAAAACTTTTATTGAGTTAGGACTGCCAGGATCCAGGCTTGACTTCCTCATGTCTGAAAAGAACCAGGTAAATTTGTCTAAGAACATATACAATCAGATTATGTGAAAGCGCTTTAGGGCTATTTGTGGAGCACTGATGGCCATGCTTTTCTTCTGCTGTCTCCCTCAGACTGACACGTTTGCAGATTTTGACACCATGACAGACAGGTTGCTGGATGAGATCATTCAGCATATCCAGCTGTACAACCTCACCATAGGGAGGATAAGGTCAGTCAGTTTTAATATGCATTACTGTCAACATATTTTCAATGGATTATTTGAGGCAAGACAGAACAGAGGCAGTCTTCAACTTAAGTGGCATTTTCTTTGGTCAGCAGGTGGCAGCAGAAACCTTACTTTTAAACTTGTTCTCATCATGAATGCCTTATAGAAGTCACTGTTTCATGATAATATATAGACTGTACTGTACTCAAAATGGATAAGTGGCACAAAATGGATGAAAAGCTCTTATCATACAGTGCCAATAAGTTTCTGACTTTCACTCAGATTCTGCTCCTTGTGTGTTGCCTAGTTTCCATCAAATTAAGCTATTCATCTTCCTACTTAATTGCCCTCAATGTGCCAATTTATTTTTTTTAACTCAAGTTTGTTAACTTTCTTTATTGTGGCCTATTCTCTAGTGAATAGGTATCAAACAGAAAAGCAATGGACTGCCACCACAGCATCTGGTTCTTTCCACATTCCCTCTATATTTAGTTTGGAAGGAGACAGATGAGGAGGAGCAGACATGGCAGTGAGGGATTTTGTGTAGCACTGTAGCAGTACAGTAATTAAACTAAGTGACAGTCATAGCTTCATAACTCTAATATTTCCCTCTGCTGGGAACATGCTACAGTATGTCCTCTTATTAAGTCGTCCTTGCCTTTGACAGTGTTTTCATTTAACAAGTTAATGAATTTTCAGTAATTACCATTGTTCAGCAAGAATCTCCAAATAGTGCTCGTTGGAACTGGTTCCTAGTTACAGAAGAGCCTATAATAAGATATTGCACGGTGTCGTAGGTCAGCAGCGTTGGAGGCACTGTTTTTCCAGCCACCCACTCAAGTTTCAAGTTTATCTCTATGAAAGTTGTTTGTCTTTGGCCAACAGCTTCATCGGCCACTCTCTGGGGAACATCATCATCCGCTCGGTGCTGACAAGGCCTCGCTTCCGCTGCTATTTGTCCAAACTGCACACTTTTCTCTCTCTGTCAGGCCCACACTTGGGAACACTGTACAACAGCAGCACATTGGTCAGCACAGGTGAGGCTCTGGGAGAAAGGCACACTGCAGATGTGCTGCATTTACAGTACTCTGCTGTAACTGCTGCATTTCCATGTTTTGCACTTCTCAGCAGCATCCAGTCTTACAGTATATGTACGAATATCATCCATAATGCTGCATTTCTGTGGTGGGGATTCGAAAAGCATGGGGTCTGATTGTGGATATGATTGTGGATATATTTGTGTGTTGCTTAGGTCTGTGGTTAATGCAGAAGCTGAAGAAATCAGGATCCTTGCTACAGCTCACTTTCAGGGATCATGCTGATCCACGGAAAACATTTCTCTATCTCCTGAGTCAGAAACCAGGTATGGTGTTGTTGTACCCGGTACTTTTAACCATGCTAACTCTGAGAGACGAGACAGTCCAAGTAACTTCAAAACAGTGCTGATTTATTCAATGATCACAGGTAAAATTAACATTACACACTCAGGTATCTTGCACCTCCAACCTGCTCACAGACAGATGTAAGATGAAAGACCCTGAACCCACCAGGCCTATACATTATATCCCCTCGGTTGGGCTAGCCCCATACTACACAGAAACGTCAACCGAGACGTCTCTGTTACCAGCTTTGCAGCTGGCCATAGCAGTAGTCATAACATGAAGCAAATCAACGTGTGTGTCTGTTGATTAAGTGGTGTGTAACTAAAAACATTCTCACAGACTTCTAGTGACATGTCGTGATATTAAACATAAGAACATATTATGGCTAAGGCTACAGTTATACACGTCATAATAATAATATTAAACACCCTGTCTGCTGACAGTCATCAACTCTTCTCTCTAGTTATCCTTGACCAGATGTACCCTGTAGAAACTCATAAGCATGACTAAGCATTTAACAGTCTAACTAGACATCCTATCTCCACTAAACATTTCTAATACATAAAGTATCTATCCAATTTCTATCTGACTAAAAATACCTAACAAAAGTGAAAGCAGCCAGATTTGAAACAGAGACAATATATTGACTGCCTCGCTTTACACCCTAATACTTGAAAGACAGTCTATTCAAATATTCATGAAAATGTTGTTGTCTTGTCTTTTTTGTCAAATTTCTATGTGTCAGCTTGCTAACACTCAAACCCCTGCCAGCGAGCTGTGAGAGGCCTGTGAGAGGCCTCCCCACTGTGTGAGTGGAGAACAAAGCAGTCGTTTGTCACACAGGCTTGAAGAAGATAAGCCTGAAAATGCTCCTCCTACCCCACCCCACCAGAGCTGTGGCAGGCTGACAAAATGATCCAAACCCTGTCATTGGAAACCCACCAGTGCACTCTCTTAAAAGCACACTGACAGGAGACCGGAGAAAAAAACACAGTTTTATCGCATCAAGCCTGTCATTGTACTTTGTGATTGTACTTTGCGTTTTACAACCAATTCACTCCTTTACTCTCTCTCACACACACACACACACACACACACACACACACACACTGCAGTCTCATGTGTGTGCTTGTTTTGTGTATTTTCAGGGCTCCAGTTCTTCAAGAACGTGGTGTTGGTGGCATCTCCACAGGACCGCTACGTTCCTTTCCACTCTGCCAGAATAGAGATGTGCAAAACTGCTCTCAAAGACAGAACCACAGGTCAGAAGTGCATATATTAATGGATCCTCTTATCTGGAGATGTCATATTTAAAATAGCTTTCAATATTAATGACATATTTGTTTCTAATACCTATGTAAATTCTGAGTACAAGGGAATATTGACAAAGGCAGTATTAAGAAATACAAGATAACAAGACAAAGCGAGGCTTGACCTAGTCTGTGTTTCATGAAGGGTAAGCCAGTTTGAACAGGTACAGCTAGGTCAAGCCAGGTCGAAGTGATTCGGATGAATGTGCCTTCATGGCTTTCTTCAACACACACACACACACACAGCCTATATAAGGGCAGGCCATTGTATAGGAAGACAGACATGTACAGAAGTACAGTATATACCGACTACAGTGGTGACACCTTTGCAGCTTTCCTGTCCTTTGTCTCATCACCTCACCAGCTGCAATAAAATTCAGCAAACATTTAACAATAACATCAACAGCAGTCTTCATTGAGACAATCGGTAACATCGACTATCACATTTTACAGATTAAGTGTAAAAAAAAATGGAATTGGTTTCTGATCAGAGTGACTGCTGACAGAGCAAAGAAGGCACCAGCATTAATCAAGCCTGGCTGTTAGCCACCTGTTCTGGAGCAGGATGGCTGCAAAGAATAAATCTCCCTAGTAACTCAATTCATCTCACTGGATCTTTAAACATCACTGTGTGGAACTACAGCAGTTGTGACCAGTCAAAGTGTCACTGTGTAACTATGACAGAAGAAAAAAAACACTTCCTCTTACATTTTAAAAGATCATCCATCCATTTTCTGTACCGCTTAGTCCCTTAAAAGATCATACGAAATGAAACACCTTTTCTTTAGTCAGTACACAGTTTTGCTGCTATAGCTATATTTGGTTTGATATAACAAGTAGCTTATGGACTGTACAAACCACATGGTCTGGTGCTGGACTACAGTATTTCCTATCTGGATTCAGTGATGACAACAGTGAATGGTACATAGCCCTCCACAGAACAACAAATTCTCTCGACTACCTTGTGGAAAGAAAGCATGTTTCCCAAAATGTCGAACTATTCCTTTAAATGCTGATAGTTTGTGTGGTCAGCTGTGTGAAATAAAAATAATGGGAATGCTACAGATATGTGATGCATTAAAAGTAGTGTTGGTGATTCATTTTAGAAGCATTGTTTGTTACATACCTTGAAATTCTCTTTTCATACCGATGGCAGTGAATACATTAAATGTACTGATGACATAAAGAAAGAAAATCTGTCATTTGTGGCAGCAACAGGGCTGAAAAAAGCCTGACCAATAATTTTACTTGGTGGCCTACTTTACTTTACTTGATGGCTTACCTGTCTATCAAGCTAACCTCCTACTTGCCCACACTTTACATGAGCAACCCTTGTTAGGACAAGCGGTATAGATAATAGATGGATGGATGGATTTCAACACTGGTGTGGCTTTTGAGCAATGGTGACAACTGAAAGAACAAAAGGGGCTAAAAAATGAGGCCACGGTGGCCGTATTTCTACTGGACAGGTAATTATCGGTTTTGTTTTTGGAGGGCGAGCTGTTGTAGTGTGCTTTGGAGAGAATTCAGAATGAAAGGGTGGGATTTCTTTGGTTGTCTGCTTTCAGAATCAAGCTTTCCCTTTCCCTTACTAAGAATGTCAACGATACCTTTAACATATTCCTACTATTACTACTTTAGGCTGTTCCCGTTAGGGGTCGCCACAGCGAATCAACTGTTTGCATGTATACATTTGGCACGAATTTTACGCTGGATGCCCTTCCTGCCGCAACCAAAATTAGGATCTACAGTATACAGTGCCAGCAGCAAACTCTCTCCAGAAGTTCAGTGAGGATCTCTGAATGATCCAATGTTGACCTAAATGACTAATGATGATAAATAGAATCCACCTGTGTGTAATCAAGTCTCCGTATAAATGCACCTGCACTGTGATAGTCTCAGAGGTCCGTTTAAAGCGCAGAGAGCATCATGAAGAACAAGGAACACACCAGGCAGGTCCGAGATACTGTTGTGGAGAAGTTTAAAGCCGGATTTGGATACAAAAAGATTTCCCAAGCTTTAAACATCCCAAGGAGCACTGTGCAAGCGATAATATTGAAATGGAAGGAGTATCAGACCACTGCAAATCTACCAAGACCTGGCCGTCCCTCTAAACTTTCAGCTCATACAAGGAGAAGACTGATCAGAGATGCAGCCAAGAGGCCCATGATCACTCTGGATGAACTGCAGAGATCTACAGCTGAGGTGGGAGACTCTGTCCATAGGACAACAATCAGTCGTATACTGCACAAATCTGGCCTTTATGGAAGAGTGGCAAGAAGAAAGCCATTTCTTAAAGATATCCATAAAAAGTGTCGTTTAAAGTTTGCCACAAGCCACCTGGGAGACACACCAAACATGTGGAAGAAGGTGCTCTGGTCAGATGAAACCAAAATCGAACTTTTTGGCAACAATGCAAAATGTTATGTTTGGCGTAAAAGCAACACAGCTCATCACCCTGAACACACCATCCCCACTGTCAAACATGGTGGTGGCAGCATCATGGTTTGGGCCTGCTTTTCTTCAGCAGGGACAGGGAAGATGGTTAAAATTGATGGGAAGATGGATGGAGCCAAATACAGGACCATTCTGGAAGGAAACCTGATGGAGTCTGCAAAAGACCTGAGACTGGGACGGAGATTTGTCTTCCCACAAGACAATGATCCAAAACATAAAGCAAATTCTACAATGGAATGGTTCACAAATAAACATATCCAGGTGTTAGAATGGCCAAGTCAAAGTCCAGACCTGAATCCAATCGTGAATCTGTGGAAAGAACTGAAAACTGCTGTTCACAAACGCTCTCCATCCAACCTCACTGAGCTCGAGCTGTTTTGCAAGGAGGCATGGGCAAAAATTTCAGTCTCTCGATGTGCAAAACTGATAGAGACATACCCCAAGCGACTTACAGCTGTAATCGCAGCAAAAGGTGGCGCTACAAAGTATTAACTTAAGGGGGCTGAATAATTTTGCATGCCCAATTTTTCAGTTTTTTATTTGTTAAAAACGTTTGAAATATCCAATAAATTTCGTTCCACTTCATGATTGTGTCCCACTTGTTGTTGATTCTTCACAAAAAATTACAGTTTTATATCTTTATGTTTGAAGCCTGAAATGTGGCAAAAGGTTGCAAAGTTCAAGGGGGCCGAATACTTTCGCAAGGCACTGTATATGCACTAACATGGGTAATTTAGAGTCGCCAGTCAACCTAACCTGCATGTCTTTGGACTGTGGGAGGAAGCCGGAGTACCCGGAGAGAATCCACGCAAGCACAGGGAGAACATGCAATCTCCGCATGGAAAGGCCCCGAACTTTTTTGCTGTGAGGCAACGGCGCCAACCACTACGGCACCGTGCTGCCCACCTTTAATCTGTTCCTACATTTGAATACAAATGTCATTTTGTGAGCATATAACAGTAGGACTCACTGTAATGTTTCTCATTTTTGCTCGAAGGGCCTGTGTACACCGAGATGATCAGCAACCTCCTGCAGCCAGTTGTGGAGGCTAAAGAGTGCCAGCTCATTCGCCAGAATGTGTTCCACGCTCTACCCAACACAGCCAACACCCTGATAGGCCGTGCTGCCCACATTGCAGTCTTGGACTCTGAGCTTTTCCTCGAGAAGTTCTTCCTAGTGGCAGGGCTCAGCTACTTCAAATAACAGTCGTAGTACTGTAGGCTTGAGTGACACATCTGATTGGTTGCTGATGGAGCTGATTTGTAGGATAAGATGTTTCTAATCTTCTCCTTGTACACTAGATTTCATGTATATTGTTAGCAGCTGTTATAAAAGATCAGTGTATTGTGACTGTTTGCTAACTCAGATTTCTGAGGCTGACATGTAGCCATGCAAACAAAACATTGTACTACGTCTTTGACGATTGCAGATGTTTTGTGGGCCTTATGAATAACCTTTCCAGCCAGAACACTAACAGATGCTAATTGTGTCTAATGCATTTAAATATGTTCCCTTTAGGGTTGGTTTTGAACCTTCTCTGGCACTGGTTGATTAAAATCTTCTTTAAGGGTTACACCAATGATAGTCTTTCCCTGTCTTTAGAAACAAGGCAATAGATACAGTGTTTACTGTATCTCCCTGATTGTACATGAAGTATTTTGTTGTAAAAAACACAGGTGTTGCTTTATGAAGAAAGGAATATATTGTTTTCAATAATTTATTTTTTATCTGCTTATGTATCCACAGTGTAAATAACCCATTTAAATGTGATCTTATGTGATGATTATCAAAACCATCAAATGAAAATCAGTTTATAAAGAATATAATGCAGGTGGCAGTGTTACGGTATGTAGCCTATACTTCACTAGTCTTCTTTTTAATACATTAAATTTATTTTATATATATATAATGTTTTTTTAAATGCATACCAGTTAACATTAGGCCACAATATCATGAGCATTAAAATGTCTTTCATATCCAGTGACTCTACCTATTAGGTTAGCCTTTGCTTTTTACAGTAATTGATTATTTATCTGATTACTTAAAATGTTGACTAAATTCATACAGATAAACTGATCATTCATCAAGCCCTGCCCTCCTTACTTACTGTTGCTACAGTCAGTGTTTCCAGACTTGCATGACACAGATATACTTTATAGCAGCTAAAGTAACATTCAAATTTACTGCTGATTTTAAACTAAGTTTCAGGAAAGATAATGCAAATGAATGCCTATTTGGACCCGCTACTGTCATGTTAGTATTAGGAGCTGGTCCCATTGAGATAAAAAAGTCAGTGCTGCTAGTGTAATTCTCTAGTTGGCATTAAAACACTGCTGAAGAAAAGGGACCATGAGCTGGCGTAGCTTAAAGGATACCCGTTGAATCTCAAATGTGAGATGTGAGAACTGGCTAGCTATTGTAGGTAATGAGTTGAAAACTATTTCTGGCTGACTGCATTACGTTGTGGAAAAAAATAAGAGACTGTTATTATGTTCTAACATGGGCCCTTTTGCACCACTTAGCTTACACATGTTCCTGTTTTCAAACAGTTTACATGTAGCCTACAGTATATAAGTACACTTGAATGCAAAAATGAAAAGGCCGTTAGGATGAGAGCTCCAGGACAGACCCAAATCATTTGTACACTGAGGAAGTGCTACTGTAACCGCTAACCTCACAAACAAATGCAACCTGTTAATTAATGATGTGTGATCCTTGTCCTTGGAAGTACCGCAGTAAGCTAGTTAGCTAGACATGCTAATGATTGCAGCTTACATTACAGCAGATGAACATACATGAAAATAATGACTTACATGGGGTTAGCGGTTTAGCAAATGGTCAATTCTTTAACTACCTAACTGTATTGATGTAAAAGCTTACAACAGGCTTATGAATTTGGCCAATAGCTAATACATAATACAGATAAAGTGAGGGGGAAAAAACTACATTATCCATGAGTATACAATATAATCCTATGGTCTAATGACCGTCACTTTCTTAATGAGCTGTCACAGTTTATATATCCTCTATACAAGCATGATTTCATAAGGCACCTTGAACTCAATTATTTTTTAAATAGCATAAAACCAGGGTGTCATTGCTTTCATCTTCTGGAAAACTGGATGATTTCATTTAATACAGACCTGCTGATTTTTCCCTCACATGTCATTTTGTTGACATCAAGATCAGTATGATGCACAATCATAGCAGGGAAGCCACCACCGTAGCAGCCGCTGATTGTGTTCTTCAATATCTCCAATGCCTTGGTTTCTCATCTGATCATCGAAATCAGAACTCAGTTGTGCAAATGACTTTTATTTTTTCTCCACAACCTTTCCTTTGCTGTCACATTTAAGTGTGACACAAGGGGTGTCATTTTCTGTTGGACACTGTGATGTCCAGTGATGTTTACATTCTAACATCAGAGAACTGTTATCACTATTATTGTAAACAGCTGTGCATCTGCTGCATATGTAGTTATGTACATACAGAGAGCTATATTTAATCTTTGCACTGGTTTGATGGCAAGTGCACTTTATTAACAACCTTGAATCCTCCATTAGCTTTGCAAAATCTAAAAAGCTATTGTTTCCCATGATTTCTTGTTCTTGTTGTTATTGTTGCTGCTGTTGCTGGTGTTTTTTAAACATACTGTTTCCATAGATCTGAAGACCATATTTCTTGTTGTAAAAACTGACCTTGGCTGTCTGTCTCATCCATTCATTGTACTGTCTTCAAGGCGCGCTGTCTTGGAGAAAACCAATGACTTTGCCAAGTGCCATTTTTTGGGTGAAAGCTGTTGCTGTGGCACAGTAAACACTGTCACCATGATTGACTCTAATCAAATGGGCTCCTTCAGGACGCAGAGATCGTTCTCAAAAAGCCGCTAAGGAAAGCCGTGTAAGCAATCTGTAGAAGCTGCCATGCATCATGCATCATTTCTCACCGACTCCCCCAACCCCCTCAGCACACACACACACATGCTGTATATGGATGAGGCTTTAGCTTGTTTGTGCTGAACACACATGCAGAGGAAAAACAATGTGTGTTTACCCAAAGGGGTCAGCGGGATTCAGTGAAGGGGAAAAAGTGTTTGTGGTATTGGGATCAGCCCCTTCAAGGGAAATGCAGCTCGGAAATGGTTTTGAAGATGAATGGCTGTCCTGTGAAAGGTTGCACTTGAAGGTGTGGTATTCGATCATAAGGATTTGTGCTTTTACTTAGATTATGTTTAGCTGTATTTAGTCTTTTATGACTAAAAATGTTTCTGTGTTAAGTGAATGTCAATGCTGCTGTCATTCGTAAGTGAATTCAGAGGTGATCAATAAATCCAATAGATTCTTGCAAGTACTGTCAAACTTCAAAACTAGCTGACTTGAACCTTTATGTAAGTGATTGCCCTTTACTGAAAGTCCTATTCATGTGTTTTGTGTGTGTGTGTGTGTGTGTGTGTGTTTGTGTGTGAGAGAGACAGTGTGCGAAGGATTGTGTCTATGTATATGAAAGGAGGCGTGTTATTGTCTGCTCATTGCTGGAACCGGTGTTGGGCTTATTACTCAGAATATGTAATACATTACTCATTACACCTTACTCTTTTCAAAAATGTATATTATTACTTTATTTATTACTCCCTGTCAAAAGTAACACGTTATTCTAATCATTACCTAACCTTACCTTTCCATTACACCCCACAGATTGGTAATATCCTGAAAATGACTTTCTTTTTTTTTGGTGACTGGTATTTTCCCAAGGATTTGTCTGACAGATGGAGAGTCAGTAGTGGAAGTGGGCAACATTTCACTCACCACATATCCAGCCACAAGCTTTATTAGTTCTTTGTTGCTTGTTGTAGCCTGCTGTCAGTGATTAAAATCCAGTTGTGGTTGTTTAGCCACTGAAGGGCTACAGCCATCCTCCATGGCTGCAGAGGGCTCATCTTTGTTGGGGTGCATTGCTACGAGCTTCCCATTGTTGTGCTGTCTTAATGTGTGTTTCAAGAGGATTGAGGTCAGGTTTCTGCAGTGGAAAGAGTCTTACAGCTACCTGCACACAATTTACATTTTACAATTATGTTCTTATCACCTTATGTTCCCATAAAATCAAAGTATTTGCAGCCACTGAATGTAGGCACGCCCATCTTCCAAGCTAGCTTACTGTTTATGGTGCTGCTAAGTGTTAAATGACGTGTAGTGATGTGTGCACGTGTGACGACTATTAATAGTGAATGTCAGATTTCAAATGAATTTTAGCCATTGTAACAAGTTGTTTTTGGAGGGAGTAACTAATATTATTACTAAAATTTTATTTGCAACCTTTTACACTACTGGTTACTGGGGAAAGTAATTCTATTACAGTAAAGTGTTACGGCCCATCCTTCATGGAACATCCTTCATGTGTATGTAAAAATGTTTGCCACTGTGAGGAATGTGTTTATTTCATTCTGCACCTCTGCTGAATGTCTAACATGTAAAGTACAGTAAATACTCTTTCATGTGTGCCAATACTATTACAATATTTTTCTATGTTGCTGACTGTACTGTGTATATTCCTTAGTAGCTTGTGTTCGATGTAAAAATATAAATACAAATATATATATAGCATAGTATTATTATAACAGATTAGATGTTATAATAAAAGTTTCTTTTGCATAACTATTTTGTTCACTGTGTTTAAGATTTTTTTCCAAATTCCTGTCAGCTTTAAAACACACTTAAAGAAGACCAGTTTTTAACCTATAATTAGTTTGTAATATTGGCCAGTACTTAGTGTTGTGCCAGTACTTTCAGCCTAGTTTAAAACCCCTTAAGCATCCGTGAATATAATGTAATTCTTAAGTCTTAACTTTGATGACATCATCGTTTTAGTTTTTTTTTTTTTTTTTTACTGTAGAAAGCTCCCTGCAGAGCTACAGAGGACATTATGTCAGTGTGAACATAGGCTGAATTCTACAGTAATAATCCTCATGACCAGGAAATGTGAACTTCATGTACAAAGTCAATGCGGTGCTACTTAAACTTTTGCACTAATCAGCTAGAGAGGTTACAGGCAATTGCTCCTGGCTATTTACAATTACATGAATATACTTTGAGATGTGTTAGCTTAGCTTGAGCAGAACAGCTAACAATATGCAGCAGGAGGGATGTCATAAGTAAACAGTGACTGTACTGTCCTCTCTTTTTGACTTAATTGTCCATTAACTGTTACCAAGTTACTTTGTGGTTTAACTTTGACATAAACTATAATAAAAAGAAATACAGTGAATAATTTATGCATTTACATTTTCCCAAATAAATTGATTTGACCAAATAATTTGTTTACAACTTTTCTGACAATTTTTTTCCCTTCTTTATCTACTGGGTTCACTGGAAAAGGTGCATCTATGTACCAGTGCTGCAGCTTGGCCAGCAGGAGCTGTATTTTCTGATTAAAAGAAATAGGCTTTTATTGCCAGAAGCTACAAAATATAACAGTTATAAAGAAAAAGCAGAGTTATTCTTTTGGTGCAAGAAATTTTGAAGATATGTTTTATGTGGCAGGTAACAATTAGAATACAGAGAGTGGAAGTGACGACACCATGTCATCACTTAGCTTTTTTTTAATTGGTCTTTACTCAAGATTCCTTTCTATATCTGATTAGAAATGAAAGCCTTGATGATAATGGATGGATGGATGATCTACTACAAAGATACAGTAGTTTCTTAGACCAGTTGGGGACTATTTTGAGCTGTGGATTAATTCTAATCTACATTAGTGTTCTAGTATCTCGTTGAGTTATCTTAACCTAAGAAACAAGTGTGCATGGCTTTATAACAGCTTTTTATTAAACAATACCCTGCCCAGAGGGACATCCATGTCATCGCCTGGACGGTGCCCTCAGTACTGAACTGTGACCCTGTGGCCTCACTGGTCACTGCCTGACTCACATCGCCCTTGACTGTCTTTACTGAACAGAACATGTAAATAAACAGTAGCTACTGTTGCAATCCTCTACACTCCTACAGATTATTTTGAATATAATTCACTGTATGTGGTTCAGTTCAAAGTAAACTAAAGTGCCCACGTTCATTATTTTAAAATAAAGAAACATGTCAGTGCCACAAAAGGTCTTAGAGGTTTTAGAGAAATATGATATATCAGGCTTTGGATTTATATGTACAGTAATAATTGTGATTATTTAGGAGGATCAATTAATTTTTAGTTTTTGCTTTTTTAAATAGCATATGGTTACTGAAAGAAGAACATCACCAGACAGGTGCCTATAGCTGTGTATTCAAACCATGAATTGCAATAGGATGGATTGGCTGAAGCTCCCTGATTGCAAAAAAGCAAGATGGAACCCATCGTAGTCGTGACAATTTGACTTCATTTTTGCATAGTGGAGGGAAGTGGTGATGCCAGGTCTATTGTATATATCAGTGATTAAACCCAAGACAAATAAAAACATAACATAAATTACTCTTATATGTTCTGACCTGATTCCTAAAGGGGCCTCTTTTTGGTCCCATTCTTTTTTTTTTCACCTGCTTTCCTTATGGTCCATCTTGATTAAATACGGCATCTCCTTCCAGTGTTTTGGCATATCATATCAACCTATTTGCTACTGAGGCAAAATAGAATTAAGAGCTCCATTAAGTTCTTATTTGACTGTCTGGAGAACATTAAAGCCTGAATGTCACTGAATTTTCCTATTTTAAATAGAAGAAAAACTGAGATTGTGGTCTTTGGACTTGCCAACGCACTTGGTTCTCCTGATGGTTAGGTTGCCATTAGCAATGAACCTGAATGTAATATTTGACAAGCCTCTTAAATTTGATTTTTAAGAAACTGACATTGAAAAAGTGTTTCATGCCTTTATTTCACCTTAGTGTGATTACTGCAATGCGTTCTACTGTACAGTACAATGAAATCAGCCGCTCTTCATACTCTTCTACCAACACCACCATTGCACACTATCACACCGTCACTCACTGTAAAAGCACATGTTTATACTGTATAACACATTTCCATGCCAAGTGTATTGATGGCACTGAACCCTGCAACAACATTTGGTGTCTCTGCCACATGTGAAAACTCATTTTCAACTTGGAAGAATGTTTTCACAAACTACAAATGTGAAATGTTTCATGCCTGGAAGGCCGCTCTTGTGCAATTGGCCTTTGAGAAGGATGTAGCATGCAAGTGTCACAGTGAGTGGAAGGAAACAATCACGAGGAGATTCAATGTCATGACTTGCAGAATTCAGCTCTTGTAAAAGTTCAGCGCTAGTTTCAGTTCAGTTTAGCTACTGTATGTGCATGTTTTAGCATTTATCACTAGTTTTACAGCATGCATAGCTTAAATGCTAGTCAAGGATATTTTGGAAGTCTTAGATGCCATAATGGACAATGGGCATATTGATATCAATGTACATACTGTAACTTATAGCCTCTCTTGTATTGGGATGGCTTTTGTATTTTGTTAGGTAGTCTGTGTGATTGGGCTTTTTGAGCAACAGTACCACCTTGCCATGCTGCCGGGCAAGAGTTTGTACTGAAGTGGCAGTTGCCTGTGTGTGTGTGAGACGCCATCCTGCATGTTTGTTTCATTGCATAAAGCAGCAGTATGCTAAGTGTACTTGTTTCGATTTGACCTGATCTAATATGCTTTATGAACGAACAGCCAGTGCAGTGTGTTAATCAGTTCTACACTGCTATTGCATTATGATGCAATTACCCGAGCTTTACACTTTATTACATCTACTGTATATGATATGATAAATGGACAGTCTGTTACCCGTTTTGTCCTAAAAGACCAGTAGAATCCAAGTATACTTTACCGGCAGACCTATGGCTGTAATCCTGTCAGCGTCCCTAAGCAGTGCTTATGTTGTACGCAGATATGTGGCTGTTTCCTGCCTCCCCAGGCCACAAGGTCCACAGAGGCAGATTTGTCACGGCCTTTAACTTCTGTCTCTGTATATTCTATTAACAAGCCCTGTTGTGGGACTACAATGACTCACCATTTGTATTGTCCGTTGGTGACACGTGCAGTAAACGAATCATGTTAAACAATCCCCCACTGACACCCCATTTCAACTGCATCAGTTTATGACTTCCAGGTGTGGGTTACCCCAGAGCTGTAAATCCAAGCCGCAACAATCCATATTCAATTTGATTTCAGGGTGTTCTTTCTCATTCCACCATCCATTTGTCACTGCATGCTGAACTCGTGATCCAACAGAGACTACTTGGAGTCCCTCTCCTTTCTTGTTTCCCCATCTTTCTTCCCTCACTGAAATCAATAGTGCTCATTTTTCCACTGCGACCCTAAAGACATCACTTTGTCACTGAAAACTGATGAGGGAACCACGCTCACACATAGTAATGCATTCCATTTGCTGCAAGTTATCAACAATTGGTTGGTCACATTCACTTATCATCAAATGCAATGAAATCAAAGCAAATGAAAGGCACGCTCTTGTTTACATCTCTACTCTTGCACAAACACATCCCATCAGAGACATATGTTACTCTGCATGTGTCACTCCTCCTCGGCCATAAAGTGAAGGAAAAATGATTTTATCATTAAATCCATCAGTCGAAGTTGATTGAAGCGGTGTTCATTCCATTGTCGGCCTTGTGAAGGAGGGAAACCATTAGTCCCAGAGTGATACTTTGGGCAGCCATCGTAAATAAGGAAGCCGCCAGTGGGAGTAATTGTTGCTGCAAGAAAGTGTCTGTGCTGGAAGGTAATAAGATCTCACATAGTCTCATTATCTCCCATGACACTGATGAGCAGGATTTCACACCTAAATATCAGGAAGATAAAGCAGCACAAATGCAGCAGAACTGGACTTTCAGGACTGCTTTGAATGATGTTCTATCGCTGATGTTTGTCGCTACAGTGGAAACTAAACTCCTGCATGTTTGGCCAGTTTCGATAATTTTATGTTGAAAGCGTGCTTTAACTAGGAACAATAACAACAATTGTAGTGTGTTATTAAGGCCAGTAGACAGTGGGCAGTAGACTTCTTTTTATTTATGGTACTGCCCCATAATATAAAGTGACCACGGGGCTGTAAATCAATACCTGCAATCTGCTTTTTGTCTTGTTGGGAAAATGTGAGTTAAATAGTATCTTCAGACTGAGAATTAAACCCTTAATACCTAGAAATGCACCATTTTAGTTTGTGCCATACGTTACAAAGTCCTTTTAAACCTTTTTCCCTCATTTTCTTATTAACAAAGATGTTGGCTAGGAAATTACATCTTTACATTCTCAATTTGAACATCAACCAAAATTTTACAAAACTAATGGTGCGTCTACTCAGAAGGCCTTTCAGACATGTTGTTCACCCACCTGATGCATCTGATGCAACAGATGCATTTCTATGTCCAATCCAGCTGTCTACACTCCTATGTAATACATACTAGCTCACCTTCTATGTGATCAGAAGCATAATGTTTAAATGGATTTCTGGATTTTTAAAAATCACTACGCAAGACTGGAGGCCTAGGTCTGTAGTGCAGTGGTAATACATTAGACACACAAACTGGGGCTACACTATGGCAGGGAAGCTCCCTACATCTTTCAGTTTTGGCTATGTCCACAATATAGGGATGGAAGTGTATTGTCAAAATTTTCAACAGTTATTCCAGCATTTAGCTATTGCACTTAAAATTATGGGACCTAGTGTAGATCAAGCTCCAGAATCATTCCCATATTGCAACTCGAGAACACCTGTCTGTGTTGATGCATGGACATACAATTCATTAAACATTATTTTATATTTTAAAAAACATTCTTCATATATATTTTACCAACAGCACAAGTGTCCAGCTGCTGACAGAAGTCTGAAACATTGCTTGTCCTTATTCCAGTTCTGCTATTCATGCAGCACACCTTCAACCTGTTATAGAGTAAAAATGAAAATTTCTTCTTTTATTGATGGCTTGAGAGCCTCCCAGACAGGAGTCCATGTCTACTCTACAATTAATGTCCAGTCTCCATCAGAAAATGCCAGAGCTATTTTCACAGAGAAGCAAAATTCCAAGAGTGGCTCTACTTGTCAGAGACATTTCTGTACTGTACATTTCTGTATATGTAAGAAGAGTCATGTCTTCTACTATCAATTATTTATAGATGTTTATCTGAACTGAAGAGAGTCAGACTAGAG